GGTTCTCAACCTGTGGGTCGCGACCCCTTTGGCAGTCGAACGACCCTTTCACAGGGGTCGCCTAAGACCATCCTGCATATCAGATATTTACATGACGATTCATAACAGTAGCAACATGACAGTTATGAAGTAGCAACGAAAATAATGTTATGGTTGGGTCACCACATGAGGAACTGTATTTAAAGGGCCAGAAGGGTGAGAACCACTGCTCTAGGAGAAAACAAAACAAAACAAGCAAACAGCCCAACCCTTTGAGGCTGGGAGGTACCGGATTTCCAGCTTCCATTGTCAGATGAGGGAGTTGAATCTCAGGGTGGATGAGAAAGTGACTTGTTCAATGTCATCTGCTCTGAGGGGGCGATCAGAGCTCGAGCTCAAATCAAGTTCCGTGGATTAAGGCACGTGGCTCACATGCCCGCACGTGGAGTCCTGTAGCTGCTGGGTGGGGGGGTCTACATTTGATGAATCGCCTCCTCTCTCTCACTGTGGCAGGCACGTAACGGTGTCTTGGAATACAGAGATGAGAAACAACAACCAGCCTGTCACAGTGCTTTAGGTTCCAGGAACTGTTCTAATTACTTTAAAAGCAACGGCTAACGCCCTGGCCGGTGTGGCTCAGGTGGTTGAGTGTCATTTCATGTGCCAAGAGGTCTCTGGTTCCATTCCTCATCCCCAGTAGGGGTCACACAGGAGGCAGCCTATTGATGTTTCTCGTTCTCTTACCCTTTGTCTTCCTGTCTCTCTAAAAATCAATACAAGCATTGATTTTTAATTCACTAATTTAATTCCTTATAATCATTTGAAGTAGGCATTATTTGAAACCAATTTAGTGGTGGAGAAACGGAGGCCCAGAGAAGTTGTGTAACTTATTCCAGATCACACAGGCAGTCACTTTTTTTTTTTTTTTTTAACAGCTTTATTGAGATACAGTTTGCCTACTCTACGTTCGCCCATTTAAAGCTTACAAGTCAGTGGTTTTTAGTATACAAGACAGGGATATACAACTATCCACCTCGGTCAATTTTAGAACATTTTTTTTGTCACCCCAATAAGAGGCGCTGCACCCATGAGCAGCTGGGCAGTGGGTTCTCAATTGCTTTGCTCTCTCCCGTCTCATCCGCGGATGAGGCATGGAGAGGGCCCCTGCCTGTCAGGAGCTCTGTGGGCACGTGGGTACATGATCGCATGCCAGTGCAATGAACACTCGGCTAATCGAGGCCCAAGGAACCAGTGGCCTGCAGTGTCACACGGAGCTTCGAAGCAAGGCCTTGTGCCTAGAGAGGGAGGGAGAATGAGTTTCTATACAAGGCCCAAGCTCTGGTTGTAACCCGGCTGTGGGTGAGTGCATCGGCTACTCGTGGAAATTAGAATGATATTTATGGGTGTGTGTGTGTGTGTGTGCGCGTGCACACGTGTGCTTACAGAGAACTTGTGTGATGTTATCAGATTAGCTGAAGACCCCTTTCAGTCTTTGGAGGAATGTGCTGGGAAGGCGAGAGGACGCGGCACGGTGTGGGGTAAACTGAGTCAGGGTCTGAGCCCTGGGTGCTTGGTACGTGGGCTGTTTGCCAAGAGGAAGCATGGTTGGCTTCCCGGCCATTCCTAGGGTCAATCTGGTGCCATCAGCGTCTCCAGCGGCGAAGTTTATCTGGGATCCGTGTTATCCTGGAAGTTACAGAACCTTCCAGGAGCCCCCGGAGGCCAGAGGCGCCCCAGCTGGGGTTCCCTCGCTCCGTTCCTGCTGCCTCGGCCCCTCAGAGAGCCTGGTGTTTATGAAGATCCCAAACAGCTGGCTGCAGACCCGCTCCAGGAGCCCGATTTCCGGGAGGGTGGGAAGAATGCATTTCAGCCCCGAGAAGGGTAGGGCGAGAACAGCGCCTCTGAAAACCCCAGGCCCACAGCCTCAGCCATAATAAGAGCTCCATTAACTGCCTGCCTTCTGAGTGCCAGGCGATATGCTATGGCTTTTCCATTTTTTCTTTTTTCCCACTTAAATCTCATGATAAAACTACCAGGCTCCCATTCTTTTTTTTTTTTTTTTTTTTTTTTTTTTTAATAATATATTTTTATTGATTTCAGGGAGGAAGGGAGGAGAGATAGAAACATCAATGATGAGAGAGAATCACTGACCAGCTGCCTCCTGCACGCCCCCTACTGGGGATGGAGCCCCCAACCTGGGCATGTGTCCTGACCGGGAATTGAACCGCAACCTCCTGGTTCATAGGTTGATGCTCAGCCACTGAGCCAAGCCAGCCGGGCTGGACTCCCATTTTGGTGGAGAGGAGGATGGGGAGAGGGGCTGTGGCTTGCCCGAGGGTCACTTGGTAGAAAGGGACAGGACTGGAGCCGTAACCAGGACTCCCGCTCAACCTGGTTTGCTGGGACTTTGTGGTTTAAAACTGATGCTTTTAAACATGCCCTGGGCAGCGACCCCTGTGCTGGGCAATGACTCCCTGACACCCAGGCCCGCTGGCTTCTCTCTGCTCTGCCTGCCCTGTAGGTGCTGAGCAGTTTCCTTGGCTCCACTCTTGACAGCAGCCCGGGGTTTGGGCTCCCCTGAGGGACTGTCCCCAGCGCCTGCCCCCTCGCTGCTCAGAGCCGGTCCCTCCCAGCTGTTTCCTGGCCCTCAGCTGTCTGCTGGCTGCTGTTTGGAGGCAGGCCCTTCGCTGTGTATCTGTTTGGAGCTTCCTCTGAGCACCGACCACTGCTGGCTGCGAACATCTGAGACGGGGCTTGCGTTCCAGCCCAGCCACCTCCTGGCTGTGCCCCCGGGGAACCACGCCGACCCCTGGAGCCTTTGCTTTCTCATCCAAGACCAGGCTGACAACTGCGCTCGCCTCGCCTCCCCGCACGGCCTGTAGCTTAACCCCGACAGGCACGGCACAGGTGGGCCGCACAGGTGGGCTGTGGCCACAGTGGGGTGACTCCGACCCCCCCCCAGCTCGGAAGGATGAGTGAGTTCTGTGGCTGCGTGGCCCCGATGTGGCACCGAAGGTGTGGTGCTGGCTGGCATGGCTGCTGGCTGCTGGCGGGTTCTGCGTTTCTTCTCTGCATTTGGTGGATTTAGAAACAGGGTGTCTGAGAAGTTAGTGAGTGGGGTGCTGAGTCTTGCGTCTGGACTGGCTTCAGGCTGAAAGAGAGGGTTGGGGTCACGTGTGTTGAGGTCACTGTCTAGACCTGGTGCTGGAATGCTGGCTCCCAGCGCTGCCAATGCGTGTCCATGGCGAGGAGGAGCCCGTGGGCGAACGTGACATAGTCCACGCCCCCGGATAATGGCTGGGGAGAACATCAGGCTGGAAGGTGAAAGGGCTTTGCAAGGTTAGACATATTCAGTGCACACAAGCTGATTTCTCACAAACCCCCTTAAATTTCCCCAGCAGAAGGTGGCTTGTGGAGAAACACATGAAATAAGTAGGGTGATCTCTTTCGTGGTCCCTTATCTTTTCTTCCCGGCTCTCATTCTATTCACCCCTTAGCATCCCTTTGCTGCCGTAATCACATTCTGTTCACCTCTGGTCAACTGAGCCCCCTTGAGTCATTCTGTGTATCTATTTTAGGAGCATTTAAGTAGGTTACTTCCCCATCTCCAAACCAATCCAGAACTCAGGGTCATTTCAGCTCTCTCCTTATCTCACTGGTTACTTCTCCCCAGTCTCCTGGGCTGGTTTCCTCTGTCTGCCCAGACCTCTTCCATCGGCAGGCCTGGGCCCTCATACTTGGGACCCCCTTTCTCTGCCTGCACGCCTTCCCCTGGGGAGCTCATTCAGTCTTCTGGCTTCAATGATTCTTTATATCCCTGGGCTCTCAATGCATATCTTTACTCTAAACCTCTCTCCTGAACTTGTATATTCCACTGTCAACAGGGCATCCTCTCTTGTAGCCTTAATAGACGTCTCACCTTAACATATCCCAAGCTGTACTCCTGGTCCGCACCTTCCCCGCCTCCCAGCCTGCTCCCCCTGTGGTCCTCCTCACCTCAGCTGGGACAGCGCCATCCTTCCCATCGTTCAGGCCCCAGAGACATCCCTGACCCCCCTTTACTCTTGTCCCCACTTCTAATCTGCCAGAACCCCTGTATTCAACTTAAGAATCCCTTATGTCCTAGGTGCCAGGATAGAGATGATGTCACCGTTGAATATCTCCATGTTAGGATTGTATTCCACCAACACGCATCTTCGATTCCATGAGATATGGCATATCAAGGAAGGGGCCCTTTCTCAGCCCTCCACTGAGAACATTCGGGTCCCAGCCACCTTCACTTCTCACCTGGATTCCTGTTGTAGCTTCTGGAGTTGTCTCCCTGCCTATCTGTGACAACCCATTGTCTATGTTCAAATGGGGTGTCACTTTTAAAGCATAAATTAGATCAAAACCTTCATGTAGAGAAAGGGCTGGTGTCCCTATAATGTCCTGCAAGCTCTATGTGACCGGGCCCCTCTTTCCTCTCTGACCTCATTGCTACTCTATTGACCTCACACGTGCGCCTCCCCAGCCTCACTTGCTTCGTTGCTGTCCTTCGAGAAAGTCAGACTCGCTTCCGTGGACTTTCGTAGTGGCTGCTCCTGGTCCTTAGAGCGCTCTTCCCTCACGCTATTTGGTTAACCCCCTTATCTCTACTAAGTTTTGCTCAAACATCACATTATCACCAAGGCTTACTTTGACTCTCTAATTAAAATTGCAACGAACCCCTGACCCTTGTACACAACTCCCATTCTCTGCTCTTCCCCCCGCCCCCAGCACTTATAAACAATTCTCTTCCATTACAACAATGCAAACTTCACCAGGGTAAGAATTATTTTCTCTGTTTTGCTTACTGATGTGTCCCAACACCCAGAGGAGGTCTGCATACATATTTGTTGACTGAGTGAATACATTTCAACTTCCACAAAAGCGGCAGTAATCAGAGAATCAAAAGTGGAGTCTGCAGCCCTGTTTAAGACACCGGTGTGCTTTCTCTTTCTCCTTTTCAAAGTGAGACTCCCCAAGCTGAGGCTGTTACTGCAGGCAGCGGTGGGAAGGATGGCCATGAAAAACAGTGAAGTCAGCGTCTTTCATGAGCTTAGGTAAGTCAGAAGCCGGATGGCCATGTGTGACTTTCATTAATCACCCTCTTGACATGACATCAACACAAGTGACCACCTTTGTCTGCACCCCCTGCCTCCAGTGCCATGATATATGGCCTGAGAAGAGTCCGGGGCACTAACAGTTGAAGAACCCAAAAAGATGGATGCTCACGTCTTGGCCCGCGAAGGAGGAGTTAATCATGATGAAGGGTGGATGGGCCATGTGCACCTGCGCTGGCTGTGGCCTCCCAAGCCTGGTTCGGCTGTTTTCCCAATACAGGGGTCTGGTGGCTGTTATCCGGGATAGCAGTGGCATTCACGCATGGCTTTGTGACCACTTGGTTGTGTGGCTCTTTGAGAAGTCAACGGGAGAGGAGGACAAATGAGGGGAAAAGTGATGAGATTGGGCAAAACGGAGAGATTCAGAGCCTCTCCTCTGTACAGACCTTCCCCCCTCACCCCCGCTTTCCACCCCGACAAAGGGCTCCAAGTGAAAGTATGTTATTATGGACAGAGATGAGGACTTGGATCACGCATCTCACTTTGCCATTCCTTGCACCTTTGGGCAAATGACTGATTCTTTTTAGTTTTCCCCATGATTCATAAAGTGATCATCTCTTGTAGCTGTACAGAATTTTAGGTGTCACAAATGCTTAAACAATTAATAGCTAATATGAGCCCCTCAATTCTATAAGTTCAGGGGAGATATAATTATTTTTACTTTACATACAAAATCCCCCCCCCCCCCCCAAGGTTCCAAGAATTAAAGCCATTTGTCTGAGGTCACAAAGCTGGTAAACAGCAGAGATGAAATAAAAGTTCAGTTCTTTGTTTCCGGCTCTCTAAAATTTTAAGTCTCTTGGGCATTCAAATCTAACTCTTCGACAGTGAAGTAGAGTAACCAATGTTAACCATCCAGGAAAGATTTTCTTAAACACAGAGGACACAAAGACAGTGGTGATTGGAAGAGCATTGAATCACGAGCTACAATTCTTCATTAATTTCACAGTTGTTTTGTGTGTACTGTGAACTGTTGTAGTTATTTGAATTTTTGGTTTCATGGCACCTAAATCTTGAAATACCTTTGTGTGGTAGGGAAGAAGATCTTTCAAGTCCTGCAAAAGTTAACCACCCAACATGGGTATTCATGTGATCAGTGAACAAACCCTAGAACATCTGTGATTCCCACAAAAAGCTATGTCTCTGTTCATGCTGTTCCCTCCGTGTGTAATGCCCTTCCCTCAACTGGCTGCCCATCTACCTCTGCTTCCCTTCAAAGATTCACCTCAAACATCACCCCTGGACGAGACTTTCTTCGCTACCTCATTACTTCCCATAGAATTGACTGCTGTCAGCTCTTTGAACCCTGCAGACAGACACTGTCACGTACTTGCAATTCTTCCTAACATTGGTTTATGCTTCTGACTTCCTTTACCAGGATCTGAGAACCTTAGAGAAGAGATAGTTACCATTCGTAAAATTTTGTAGTGTAGAAAAATTCAGAGACAACCATCATTACCGTTTTCAAATATTTCCTTGTATTATTGATTAACGTATGCTTAAATATGTTATTTTTCTAAATCTGAAGTCATGTGGCTATATTTCCCTTCTTCTAACAAAGTTGGGTTTTCCCTTACATTTTAATTCTTCTGAACTGAGACACATTTTACAACTGATATTATGCTATTATTTATATTATAGTGTTTATCAGCACCCAAATTTGATACTAAATGGATAGTGAGTCTTAAATTGCTACCATCTAGAATTGAGGGAGTACTGTGTGTGTGTGTGTACATACTATCCTTTCATGAATATGCAATGTAATATGCATTGACCACCTTACGGTATGAGCATTTTCTCATGATGCTAAATGAAAACATGAATTTCAATGGATGCCAAGTATCCCAGTCTATGGATGAATCACACATTCTTTGATTATTGTTGGTCCTTAAGCTGTTTCCAGATTTTTGTTAATATATGTTTATAATTCTATGGTGAACATCCATGCACATTTATGTGGTTATATCCTTGAGATACACCCCAGAAATAGCATCACTAGTCCAAAGACAAACATGTTTTTGACCGGCCAGTCCAGGGCAGGTTGTGTAAGCAGCCCCTGTCCGGTCCCAGCAGCCAGGGTCCTCCACAGAGCCACCTTCTTTAGCAAAAACGCATGCCAGCAATTTTAACAAACACATCCAGTCTTTTATAAAAGATGAAAAAGAGAGATTTAAGTAAAACTGTTGCATGATGACCCTATCTTAGAACCCAAATTACTTGAGTCCTGAATGCCACAAGCTCAAAGTTGTCCGATTCTGTGATGTGAGGCAGGACGAAGACTACGGACCCAGGCTGACTTGGACCAAGGAAAAAATAATGAAACAAGGGAGCCGCTGAGGTTTGGTAAAAGCATGCTCCATCCCAGCCCTTGCACATGAAGGAAACAGCTTCTGGATGTTGGCACTGTGCTGGCTCTGGGAACGCAATGGCCAATGAGATCCAATCTTACCTCCCAGAGGCTCAGAGCCTGGTGGGGGAGTCAGACTAGTCAATCCAGGAGTGTGATGAAGCATCACACTGGTTTTGTTGGGTTTGCAGATAACAGCCGGGGCAACTGGGAGGAAACATCTTGTAGATGGGAGAGGAGGTTCAGGAAAGATGAGAGTGCAGCTTGAGCGGAGACTGGGAAGATAAATGAGAATCTGACACACAGTGAATGTCGTGAGATTTGATTTTCTCACTCACTCCTTCATTACTGTAGCAAGCAGGCCCTTTATAATTCTACGGAAGGCCTGATTATGCTGGTTCCAGGGAAGACACTTATGCATTCTTCATCACAGTGACACCTGGCCTGAGGGGACTGTGAGTACAGGATGTCTTCTTCAGGTTGGTCAATGAGAGTCACCTGGGCAAGTCTCCGAGGCCAGAATGACACTGATCAAGAGGACAGGATGGCTCCTTCCCCCACATATGTGTGCCCTGTAATGACGCAGTTTTGCTAAGAAGGCAGAACGGGAGAGGATAACCTTCTGGAAAGAGCCCCTGAGTGTGGGAGCAGATGCGACATTAGTCTGGACGGTTTAATGAGCCGGCGCTAGGGGACCTCACCCAGTAATTTACTAGGACGTTGATAAGACCTTCCTCCTTCAGAGGTCACTTATCTGGCCACATTGGCCATATGACAAACATCTGAGAATGAGGAAATGGGCACCCCTCCCCCCAAGATGTCAAAGGCAACGTCAAGAAGCAGACAGAGAGAAGCAAGTACTTTCTGCCTTTGGTGAAGCACTTACATTTTCTCCCTTAAGAAGCCTTTCTAACTTGATAATCTGGCTTCCATAGACATAGCAGATTAGAGACAGAAAATGAGAAGTCCGAAGAGGAAGGGAATGCATGAAATTTGAGACCCTGACAGAGAATGACCAGGAAATAGCAGAGAAAACTCAGTAAGTGGCCACCTTCTGGCATTTTGTGCAAGGACGACAGCGTGCTTATGGGTCACTGTTTCCTGTGGCTGTCACAGTGCAATGAAGGATGACCCTTGGACACTGAACAGGACTAAAATATTGTTTATTGTCCTCAAATTACAAAGCCAAGAGAGGCGAGACACTTGATATTGAGTTCATACTTAAAATAGACATTTGTTGGTTTAATTTGGAAAACTGACTCATTTGAAATTCTTCTTTCTTGATAAAACAAGGTTAATGAAATCCCACTGTCTCAAAAGGCAGATACTATCAAGAAGCAAAGCAGAAGTCATGCGTGCTTAGTGGATGCAACGAAGCAGTGAATGCAACGGAGGGGAGGGAAGGAAATAGATGTCAGATATAAGCAGCTCTGAGTAGCTCGTGATGGGTGGCTTCATACAGGTCTCCATGGAGCACTGGGGAGGATGAGTGTGGAGATGTTGGCAGAGGGTCAGCCATGGAGGCCCTTATATGGCACGAGGGCACACTGCAGGGTATTCGGAAGGGGAGGCAAGTAGGCAGATGTACATTCTAGAATAAGCATTTTGACCATCACTGGGCGGAGGGTGGCCTGAGTGTGTTAGACAGTTGAGCATCTGTTCCTTCTCCGGAATCGCTCCTTTATCCATGAACAGAGTCACCAGAATGCCTATTTCTGCACGGTGGTTGATCAGTAAATGGATAAGACGATAGCCATGTGGGTGTCAGGACATGAAACTCTCCCCATTGCTGGTGCTCTACCTTGGACAAGACTTTTCTCCCCTTGAGCCTTCATTTCTTTTTATGATTTTTAATTTTAATTTTAAAATTTACTTTGTATTAGTTTCAAGTGTACAGCTCAGTGGTTAGACAAGCATATACTTTGCTTAGTGTTCTCCTCGATGTTTTCAGTGCCCCATTGGCACCATACACAGTTACTATCATATTATTGACTATATTTCCGATGCTCTACTTCCCATCCCCTTGACTATTTTGTAACTACCAATTTGTGCGAGCCTTCTGTTCTTGATCTGTAACATGGGGACCATAATCCCTACCCTCCTTTCTCATAGGGTATTTGTGAGGAGCAAATAAACAAGGAATGGGAAAATATGAAAAAAAATACTCTCCTTTTTCTTTTCCCATTAAGAATACTGTGGGCAGTGCCCAGTACGGAGCTGGGCATAACCAAGAGTGTGATAAACAGGCTTGACTCACTAAAATCTGAAATGGTGCATGGGTCTTATGTTGGGTCGTCTTCCATCCTCCACCTGCTCGGCCTCCAGAGACTGAATTCAAGGACATGTATTTTCTGGGCTCCCTTGCTCTCTAGTTTCTGGTTGGGTTTTACCAATGGAAGGGGACCAGCGGGTGAGAGAAGCCAGGGTATTTAGCCACATTTGGCAGAAATTCTTTTCTATCACCCAAGTCTGCAGCTCCAGGTGCGTGGCCCCTGTCTCATGCTTTAACTCTCACTCGATTTTGGTACCGGCCCTATTCAGGTCTCCACGTGGCAATGGCTCCCCCCGGTTGCAAGTCCCAGGGTCCTCTACC